CACAAAAAACTAAAAGAACCTTTACGATAAAAACAGAGAAGAAATCTCCACAGTTACCTCAGATCGAACAAGCTTGTAAGTCTCCTTAGCAGGAAAAGGTCTACAAATCATGCCATTCTCTGCTCTAAAGTTCAAAATATCCTCAGAACGATTGGGCAAATTTTGCACCTCACTATCATCTCCACTCGAGTTGTTACTAGTATAATCACCACTATGTGATACCTCATCACACTCTGTTTCTCCATCCGTCAACAGCCCCTGGGAGAGATAATTCTTTATGCTCCGCCTAATACGTCTGCGTCTTGGTTGTTTATTTATCAACCCGAAGCAACTCCAGCAGCCAATCATTTTAGTAAATGAAAAACTCCTATAATCTGCCATTACAAATGCCCAAAGCAAATATCCACCTAACAACTAACTTTTCTGATGACCCTGCAAAAAATAAATCTCCCATCAAAAGGGTTTTCATTTTTCAATATGATTTACCATAATTTGTATGATTGATGATTACCTACCTTATATGAGAGTAAAGGAAGGGCTTCAAGCCCAATTTAACTTGGCTATTCTAAGGGATGCCATTCGGCTAGGTGGAGAAAACCGCTAGAGAAATCGAAACAACTATGATTGACACCCAGCATTGTGATAACTCCAGTTTCTAACAATGGTTGCAGGCACAGCCCACAACTCACCACCAATAATTCGTTGACCTTTTACTATGAACAGGAACAGAAAAAAAAATTATAAAAATACATAGATTCAGAAAAGTCACACATGTTATTATCGAATAATAACAACATTTAAAGAGACAAAATTAGCACAAATTAAAATATACGTTCATACGCCATCAGAGAGAAACGTCAATGATAATGAAAGAGGATATCATAAGATAATAAAAATGATTAAAAAAATTACATTTTTATTTTTTGCTGATCGGATTCTGGTGGAAAAAGACAAAAAAAAAATGGAAGAACCTTTGACGCAGAAGCTCCAAAAGCCTGAAATTCCAGCAACAATGGATGGCCTTTGGAGTAAAACGCGGAACCCTAATTCGAAAATTCAATCGGAAAGGAAGGTGAAATTATACCCTAGAAACGAATCAAAGATAATGGAAATAGAATCAAAAACGGTTTATTCGAATTGAAATTGGGAAATGATGATGAGAAAACGGTGGAAACAGAGAAACCCTAGGAGAAAGAAACGAAATTGAGATGAGAAAAAATGGTTAAATACAATTTTAAATTAAATTTTATTATTATTATTATTATTATTATTATTATTATTATTATTATTATTATTATTATTATTATTATTATTATTATTATCCTTTAATATATTAGGAGAAAAAAGAAAGTAGAAATGGAAAAATGCTGCAACAGGTTGGCCACGTTGGCAACCTCGTTTTAAGCACTATAAAGGGCTCCCATGTTATTTCATTATTATCAAACTAAAAAATATATTAAGAAAATCACAAGAATATACATTAAAAAATATGAAACATTTATCTTTAGGTAAAGATGATTAATTTGCTAAAAATAAAGATTAATGACAATATTTTTATATAAGTATATAAAAATAGTATAAAATTTATGGTATGTGTTTTGGACTGGTCCATTGGCTAGACATGATCCAATTCACTTCTGTTCTCAGAACGGCTCAATTGCCTAAGTCCAATCTTTTTGGTGGATAGTTTACCTTTCTGTTCCTCCAGCAGGGGAGGCTGACCAATTTACCATTTGTCACAGCACTTCTCCCCGCCAGTCTTTGTCCTCACGCACGGTTCCACCATCTAGGAACAACCAAGACGCTTGTGTCCGTAACTACGCCTCTGCCCGTGCCAATGACTAGTTATGGGCACGCCTGCCCGTCCCAACGACTAGTTATGGGCACGTCTTTCCGTCCCTACAGCTAGTTCTGGCAGTTACCTATTTTTCGGGAGACGGTTATCTCGTTTCGAAAATAGGGACCAATGGCCAAGCGCTGGGGGCATTAAAAACCCTCTCACTTGAGAGGGTCAGGTATCAAAAACATTCATCCTGAAACACTCATATATTGTACTTGCTCACTCTTTTGCTCATTTTCTTACTTTTGCATCGAAGTGCCTTGCAGGTACACATTATCCTTCTCTTTCACACCCAGCATCACAGAAGCTTGTCTTTGACCCATCTCAGGTTCTGATCGACCGGTAAGATCAGTGGCGACGTCTGTGGGAACTTGTTATCCCCGTCTTTTCTCTCTTCGTAGAACACAAGACTAAAATAACCCTTCAAATTTCTGATCATGGCTGCCCGTGACAACAATCTTGATGCTCGTAACTCTGTTTTTTTCCCCGCCAACAAGACTGATGCTGATTAGGGCACCACCTTTCGTGGCGGCGACGTCCTCCGACAAAGGGACGGAGCCACTGCTTCCCCGTCCTCTACTCGTACAGATCATTGTGAGGTTCCCCTTGTCCCGTAACACCTATCAGTTCCAGTTTCGCCCAACACCGACCCGACCATGGCGGCCCTCCCCGAGGTTCTCAACAAAACCAACCTCCTAATCCTCAACCAGAACGCGAGGATTGGAGCATTGGAAGAGTCTAGTCGTCCAAGATCCCCTCCATCGAGGAAAGAACATCAGCAACGATGGAGTCCCCCTCCCTGGCGCGAGAGGAACCGTCAGACGCCTCCAGAGCCAGAGACCCTGATCATCCGCAAACGCGACCAGATTTCTCCCCGGAACCAGCATTTCCCACAACCTAAGAGGACCATAAGAGGCCACCGGGCAGAATCTGAACAGTCTCCTCCGCCCAGATCCAAGGGCCAAGCACGAACCCCGTCTCCCCGATAAGACCGCCGTCCTATCTACAGACGGGACGCCCGTTCCCCGTCTTGGACCAGCAGCAGCAACGACGATGAGCTTCACGACCCGTTGTCATGCGCCTTCCAAAAGGACTATAGAAACCTCCCTCTCTAGGCACATACGACGGAACAACTGACCCCGACGAGCACATCGAAAACATCGATGCGCTGCTCGACTATCGCGGCGTCCTGGGTGCCATTAAGTGCAGGTTATTCTCGACCACACTCAGGAAGGGGGCAATGACCTGGTACAAAGGACCTCCTGACAACTTCATCGCCTCGTGGAGGCAACTGGGAAGACTCTTCTCCAGACACTTCACGGTCGTCATCCGAAGACCGAAACCTCCCTTAAGGCCATCATTCAAGGGAGGGATGAACCCCTGCGTGCCTACATTGAAAGATTCAACAAGGAGGCCGTCCAGATCAGATCATTTATCATTTGAGAATAGTGATCTATTTTTAATCTTTAAGCAATTATCTATTTTCAATCCCCTAAAATTAATACTTTTCACAAAAGTAAAAATAAGTGACTTCGACTTATGCAATTATTTGAGAGAATTCATTTAATCGGTAAACGGGCTACCAAATACAAGTTAGTATTGAAAAAATTGTATTTAAACATATTAATTAATTCATAATCATTAGTATAAAACTTTGTTTTCGATTAAATCCAAAATTTTATTAATATTACAATAAATAATTGTTAATTTGTATTTAAGATAATATTTAACTTTTAGATTAATATTTTTAGTTTAATTTAATTATAGGAAAGAGCTTGCTATTTTTTAAATACGGGAAACGTGTTGCTATTTTTCAATCAATTGAACATATTTATAATATATTAAATATTTATTCATCTATTAAAATATGAGAAAATTTTCACAATTATATGTTATTGATGTAAATAAGGGAAATATATATAATTACGGGAAAAAAATATACTATTTATCCAAATATGAGAAACATATTTTTTTTATAAATTAATTTATATATTTAAATACGGAAAAAAAATATATATCTCTTATAAATTAATTTAAAATATTGTTAAATTAATAAGTGAATGTTAATAGTTTTTTTTTACAAGACTAAGTTTATTATTTATAAAAATACTGAAAAATATTTTAACATTGACAAACCAATATCCATGCAAATTCACGAGAAAAAATGATGTTGATACAAAAAGATTTATATGAAAAAATAATTAAAAATTCTAGCATTTATTTTAAAAAAAATAATATTTATACACGAGAAAAGACACAAAAAAGATTGTTGTTCTAATTAAATTTCTTCTTCTACTTATAACATTTTTCATATCAAATTTTTGTGCTTTTTTTAAACAATTATATCCGTGTGTATAAATAATAACAAAACAAATGATCCAATCAACAATTTTTTTTAAATTTTTAATATAATTTTTGTTTTCTATTCATTTAATTTTCTATAAATATAATGTTCTTTTTTTTATTTATGAATATTATAAGACTATAAATTTTTATATTCCACGCTAATCAATATTTTTTTCCTAAATATTATAATTTATTTTTGATAAAATAATTTTGTCTTCTTTTTTAATTTTATGTTTAAAAAATAAATAATCGATATTCACGGATATTTATTCTATTTTTTTAATATAAATTATAGTTTTTATATTTACTTATTTAAATTAATTATATTTTAAAGGTAAATAAATTCAGGACACCGACAAATATTCGTGTGAAGGCACGGATATCCCGCTAATACTAATAGTGGCAGGCTGAGCTTCTCTAAAAGCTCACCAATTATTAGATGTAAGTTGTACATATTAAAGATTGAAAATTTCAAATACATAGTTTTCAAACTAATTTAACTTTATTTCAAACTCCATAAGTCCAATTTTTCAACTTTTCACTGTTCCATTTCCTCACATTGAATGCAACTTGTATTTGTAGTATAGCACCGTCACCATCCTTTTCACTACAACAACAGTAACAAAACACCATTTTATCACGTATCTTGCATCACCATATGGACCACACTTTTGTTTCTTTTATTACAAGTGATACTAAACTATTATTCTAATTGACAAATATTTTTGAAATGCTCCTAGAATACAATTCTAATTTGAACCAAAAGTTGAAGACAATGTGGAGAGCATGCTCTTAGAGCAAAATGTATGCATCTCTATGCACAAGTAGCTTCAACAGCTAAACTCTTTGTCAATCCTCTACAAGGGTCTCCGAATGTATCGGTCGAGACTCCAACACTACAACTTCTTGATCCAATGCAAGCCTGTTAAAACATCATTTGACAGTATGTTAGAACAACAACCTTGGTCTAAAATAGCATGGGAAGAGGAATATAGGATAAACACCTTTTGTACAATTGACAGTGCCTTATTGCTGCTGCAACGTCCGTGGTAGAAGTTTCCGCATGTACCTAGTGGTGTTCCGTAGCTTGCAAATTTGATGGAAGAGATTACGTGATTATGATCAGGACACTCGAGCAATAATGCAGGCCCTATTTTTCTTTCTGATTCGGTTTCGGAGTTCCACAAGTCTATTTGAGGTGGGTGAGATTGAGATACATGAGCACACAAACTTTGTAGCTGTTTTGTAGCAAAAGATATCTGTGTTGGATCACCGCCTTTTTCCTCGAACAATACAAGAATATTTCCGTTTGGTTTCAACCACGAGCGTGGTACATGGTATCTGTGAAATGAAATTAGTGGTTAAGTGACATCATAGATCAATGTTATTCTCGCAGATTCTATCCAACACTTACAATGTTTGTGATGGTTTTCCGCAATTCTTGCGACATTTGGATGAAGTATAAGGTCCTCTATAGTTGCACGAGTCAGTGCAACCTGCATTTGAAGAGACATAGGTAGGCCAGTATCGTCCAATGCTTTGTCCGTTCACCCAGGCCTCGCCTTTTCCCATCCCCGTGAAGTCAATTGCAACTGGATTACTTCCGGATGGAGCGCCAAAGCTTGTCTAATGCAATATATACTACATTGGTTAGTAGCAAAAACATTTTCATATAGTAGCTAGCACTCTCTTAATTTAAATGAAAATAAAATTACCTTGTACCAAGTCAATGGTTGGTCCTTTGCGAAGGTCGACTGTGAATTCCACAGTTCGGAACTTCCACTAGACAGACCTAACTCTTCGCCTTTTAGGCCAATCTGTATCCAAAAAAAAGGCGAAGATTTTGATTCAAAAAGAGTAACAAGAACAATCTTGCAAATTAGCAAAGGAACAGTAGAATAGTCTTGAATCAAAAGTTAAGACTGGCCTGATATGTCCACTTCTGAGACGAGAGATCAAGAGTGTTGTTACCATTCTTCAATCCTTTCAATATCACGGGACCGGTGATCCCCGCTCCCCGTGTGTCAAAAAAAGCTCCATAATTCTGATGTGTATATGGTTTCATGTTAGTTTTTATAGTAACGAGAGTCGGGAGAGATAGTTGGATGGGCGAGTTATTCTATGTGCGGCGGAAACTAAAACTAATGAACAAACGCAGAATTTAATACTATAGTAAACCAGAAAAGATGAACCTTAAGTCCCACTGTTAAACTCAGCAGATCAATTTTGTTCTTTCCAGAAACTAGTGTGATTGGGATGTCCACATTAAGCTTAGCTTTACTACTGTTTCCTGCTCGACTCCCTGAGAATTCGCCAATAATATCATAAACGGTTACTATTTCAATAATTCTAGAAGAACATAATTGAAATAATAAAATCCTAATGAACATTTACCAGCAAGCTTGCCGTTTACAAAAGCGTGAAGGGCATCGCCAAGTGATTCAATATGAAGAACAGTTTGAGAACCGGGATCGCCCTCAAGACCAATGCTTTAAAAAAATATTAAAAAAAAGTGTTACCAAGAAGCACAGAATCATAGGTCAGATGAAATATCTTTCAAACTTAAAGGCTTAACTACCTTAACGAGTACCACAAGTAGTCACTTCTATCAGCCGTGGTATTTATTTGCTCTAGTAATCCAGTTTTTGACAATGAATCATCCTTCGAAATACCAACAGGTTCGCTTGTCCAACTCCATTTTGAACTAGAAGTTTCTAAAGATCCAATGTCTTTTTTCGAAGATTCGGTTACGAAGCTTGAAATTGCAGTTGCAGAATTAATCTGCCATAAAAATGTTGTTGTTATCATGAATATCATCATTATGCAAGCAAACTTAACACAAATGAAGGGAAGACAAACCTTTGCAGTGTTAAGCACTACATTCTTGCAATCAGGTAAGATGCTCACAGACCATGCAGGCAAGTGATATGAATTGCCGCTAAAATTTACAGTTTTATCAGATTTCGTGTCTACGTTTGCGAGGAAGGCAGCACATACAGACTCTGTTTTATAAACTGCCACCTGCAGTTTAAATAATAAAATACTGTTAAGAACTAACCTAGTTAGTGCGCCGAGTAGTAATTGCGGAAAAAGTTAACTCAATGCAGGGAATTTTCCGGTGAAAGAAACTTACAAGACGTGGATTACGATTTATAAACAGACTAAAATTTTCAATACATACCAACTATACCTCTAGGTTTGGACCAAGAGACGAAATCTTGGGATCAGTAGCTATTAACGCGTCTTCACAAAGCTTTATGGCCTTATGCACATCTTTAAGGTGACCCCACTTTGGCTGCCTAATAATGCCTGCATCATAGATTTGTGATACATTTGTGATGGCCATACATTGACAATATATGCAGTATGATGGTTGAAGGAGTGCATACCATACTCGTCGATTGGTGCATCATAGTCATAACTTGTAGCAATGAAAGGTCCACCGGAAGATCGGCCAAAGTTAGTCCCTCCATGGTACTGTTTTCGAGCAAGTAATAAAAATGATCCAGTATCAGCTAATTTCTAAGTTATGGCCAATTTATTTTTTCACCGACGTATCATATAAATATGAACTTGAACAGCATTTGAGGTTGCATTACCATATAATAATTTTGAAATGTTCCACCTCGTTGGAAAAAGCGTGTCACAGCAAATGCAAGATCTTCCACAGGTCTGTAAGGAACAGCACCACCAAATGAAAGAAACCTACCATTCAAAAGACGCTAACCATCAGATCACATTAGGAGGAATATATTTCAATGAAATGATATCTATAAAAAGGATGCTAAATTGCTAACCATCCACTCCAATTTTCAGTCCACATTTTCGGCTTTGTATTAGAGTTTGGTGTGAATTGGTCACAGTAAAATCCGTTGCATGTATTAATCTGTGAGCGGTTAAAGTAAAATGAGTGTAAAAGACAGACAATCTAATACAACAAAAACCGAAAAAACACTTAATGTTGAAAAGTTAAAAGAGAAAATAACTTACGATTGGATCAGGAGCGTCTCCTTGCTGACACATGACCCAAGGAACGCCTGTATCAAGAGATGTCGCCATATTTGCTGCCCACTTGATGTATGATTTACCAGCAGAACCATAGGCAGTATCAATATTTCCATACTCATTTTCAATCTGAGATAAAATTATAGGTCCTCCCTGTGATGCATATAGTTTTTCTTGCTTCATGATATCCACAATCTTAGCGGTGAACCGCTGCATTTCTGTCTGGAGACAAAGTTTTCCAGCTAATGAACTCAGATTTAATAACAATATAACATGAGGCAGCCGGGCGAATGTTAGGTTACCTTGAATGGCTCATTGTCGGTTCGGAACTCAATCCCTGGAATGAAGTGAAGCCAAAGAGGGAAACCACTGTGAAGAAGTTAAAGCTCTCAATTAGACAAGAACACCTCAGCAAAAAATATAATACACAGAAAGGACTTAGGTTTACCCATAGTTCCATTCAGCACAAGCGTATGGACCGATTCGAAGATGCACGTATAGACCAGCTTCAGCCACTGTCTTCACAAATTTCACCAAATCCTTCCTACCATCAAAATCATACTGCAAAAAAAAAAAAAAAATCCATTTCATTTCAATGAATGCTAATAGTCTTTCTGAGATTAATTTATGTATTTCATTCAAAACTAGACTATGGTCTTAACAACTTAATTAAGTGCGTACAGCTTATAAGTCATTTCTATTTCAATACAATGCAATGGCGAAATGAAAGTGAAAGCAAAATGAATATGAGAGAAAAATAAGGAAAGAGAACCTGGCCTTGAAGAGGTTCATGTAAGTTCCAGAAAACATATGTTTCAATGACATCAAGTCCTCCATCTTTGGATTTCTGAATAAGGTCTGGCCACATCTATAACAAAAACACAAAGCAGAAACTCAAAAACACAATGCAGAAACTCAAAAACACAAACAGAATGAGAGAGAAAGAGAGAAAACCTGTGGAGTACTGCGAGGGTAATGAATAGAACCAGAGATCAAGACCCTGCGTTTGCCATCTATGAGCAATGCTCTATGATCATAGTCCACATTGGTGCAAAACATAGCTGGAAAGAACAAAAGCAGAAGCAACAGAATTTTGGTGGCTCTCATGGTAACTTTTTGGCAGAATGAAGAGAAAAAGGGAAACCCAGAAGGAAAGGAAGGAACTTTTGTTTTTGTAAATCAAAACACAAACTTGATTTACTTTATATGTTACACATGTGTGTGTTTTGTGTGACGTGCTTGGTAGAAGAGTAAGAAGAGGAAGAAGAAGAAGAGGGAAGAGAAGAACTATGGGGCTATGAGTAACATGTTTAGGTATAATGTGCACGATAGGAAGAGAAGAACACGCCACATGTCAGGTGGTTGTTGACAAAGAAAAAGGTTGTCGGTGTGATGACATTGTTGTCTTTCTTCTCTGTAGCTTGGTTCTGCTTTTTACTTCACTCGGTTTTTGTTCCTTTGAATGTATTTAAATTAATCATTTTTTACAACATTTTAATTTTGATTATAAATAGTTTTACATTTTTGTTTAATAGAAAATCATATCATACAAGAATTTTAGAATATAAATATAATATAATATAGCGAAATACATCGTCGCATATACAATATAAATTATATGGTCAAAAATAGAAATATATTACACAATTATATCAAATAAATAATTTAAAAATTAAATTTATATAATTGTGATTGGATTATTTCTACATTTTTATCAAATATATTGTATTTTTTTTATTGTTTTATTTAATAAAAAAATCTGTCCGGCATAAAACTTATTGAGATCTAAAATTCTAGGTGCTTACCAAAAATAGAAGTAATTAAAGGGTTGTTGAGCGTGGAAATGAGCAGCCCAACTAACTATAACCACTACGACTACTACCAAGAATTAACATCAACTTAACCAATTTCTTAGCTAAGAAAATATTTATGACTTTTTTCGATAATTTTTTTTATAAACACTTTTAATTAGGGATCATAATGAATATGATAGCAGTATTTTAAAAATCGGATTGGACCAGCCGGTTCGACTAATTGATGGAACCGAAAATTGAATAGGTAATTGATTTGGTTTAATTATTAGATCGATTATGTTATTGAATCGGTGGAAACCGTTAAAAATTAGTGTAAATAAAAAAAAATTAGAAAATCGACGGTTTAATTGTTTTTTTTCTTTAAAAAAAATCAAATTCAAGATTACAATTTTGCTATTTTTATTTATTACTATATGTTAATTGTTAGAGATAAGATCCTCTTCATTTCTTTATCTCTCCATTTTCTCTATTGCTATAGTTTTGTGTGTAAATAACACACATTTCTAAGACATGTGACATATAATTAATATTTAGTTGATTTTATATACATAAAAATTATAGTAATGAAGAAAATAGAGAGACAAAAAAATGAAGAGGATCCCAACTCCAATTGTTAAAATCTCTAAATTGATATTATTATAGATCAATTAAATTTGAAAGAGCCCAACAATGAATTAATTTTTTCTCTTTAGAATTAAATTTATGAGAGATTGAAGTTATTTTGTTATTAATTGTGCAATTAGATTATGTTGCAATTAGAATTTACTCAAATTTTATTTTGATTTGTATTATGTGATATTTTGTTATGTGTAATAATTATGTTTAAAATTTGAATTTAAATTATAAACTTTGAAATTACGATATTTTAAAAAATTTTAGGTGCTAATGATTTTTTTAGAAATCGAGTTATTCTGTTTGACCAATTTAATACATATATAGTTTTGTTATAGCGACATGTTTATTTAATTGAGTTTTTCAGTTTTATTCAGTTTAATCGTGCGATTCGACCAATAACCTAGTAGTTTGACCAATGAACTAGTGATTCAATATCTTTGCCAATTGTTGACCGTCCGATTTTTAAAACATTGCATGATATTGTAGTTTATGTGATATATCTAAGGTTTCAAAAAAAAAACTTAATAGTAACATTATTTTTGTAATTAATATACATACATTATTTATAAAATTAATCTCTCAATTTTAAAGTCAAATAGTTTTATCCTCTATTTTAAATTCAAACTGTTTTAGTCATCCTTTCACGTTTTAATATTAAAAATTGATGTAATTTTTATTTTTTTTAATTTATATTTTTATCTATAAAATTCAATAATATGTTTATATATGATAATTTGTCATGTTTTATAAATAATTTATTATTTAAAAAATAAAAGTATCGTTAATTTTAAATTTAAAAGTATAAAATGAAATTAAAACTATTTAAATTTATAATAGAGGAATAAATTAGATAAAATAGAAGAACAAATCTAATATTAACATAAATATATAAATATATTGTTAAGATACGTGACATACTAAACATTAAGTTACTCATATATGCACTCCTACTATTATAAATAATTTTTATAAGTATCTATCAAAAATGAGTCTAATTGTCATTTTTATTTTTAACTTATACATATTAAAAATAGAGACTATTTAAAGTCTTGAATATTATATCTAAGATTGAGACTTTAAAAAGAAAAGTCTTGAATTTTAAAAGAAGATTTAGATCATATTGATTTTTTAAAAAAATAATTATAAATTTTTTAATTTAAATATTTTATAGATTTGTAAAATTTGAAAGAACTCAATATATATTTTTATCAAAAACAAAGGATAAATAAATTCATATTTTATTATAATGTGAAAATTATAAAGATATGATGGATATCAGTGATTGACTTATAAACCAACAAAATATTATTGGTTGAGCTAGTTGAGCTAACTCTCTCTCAAATAAAATTTAAAATTAATATTAAATATTTCAATAATAGAGTTATTTTTTCTAAAAATATCAAAGTAATTTTGAATTCTTTTTGTTATTTTTCCTTAAAATTTTGTAAGATTATTGGTTTTTCAAACTTCTTTTATGAAATTGATTACAATTTATGTATTTTATAAATTCTTAAAATTTGAAAGAATTCAATAGATTTTTTTAGTAAAAAAAGAATAAATAAAAAAGATAATAAATAAATTCTATTTATTTTAATATGAAAAAATTTATAAAAAAATATTAGTGAACTATAAACCAACAACTTATTTCCATCTAATTTAAATTAATTAAGCTAACTCTTCCTTATATAAATTTTAAAATTAATACAAATATTAAATAATTTATTATTAGAAGATCACAACGATATAACATGAGCTCATATCCCCACAAGAAATACTACTACGAGAACTAAAAAAACACAACGGATATAAAAACTAGGGTTAAATATGTCAAAAGCCCTCGTAAATATGTCAACGTTCAATTTTACTCCCTCTAAATTTTTATTCAAACAATTTTTTTCACAATGTTTTCCGTCCCTAAATGTGGTCCCTCCCATAAGGCTTCATTAATAGAGGCTTATGTGGCATGTCAAGTGTGTATTTTTCATTGACACGTCAGATATGTTTTAACATGATTATTTTTTTATAAGAAAACCAAGCCCCAAACACGAACCCTATTCTTCTTCAGATCCCTTTCTTCTTTTTATTTCATCGTCTTCCTCCCTTACCTTCGTCTCCTTTCCTCGCTCACCTTCTTCGGATCTCCTTCTTCTTATTATTATTCGTCTCTTTCCTCCATCTCTGACATCATGTTATCTTTATCAAGGCTAAGCAAATTCGTGTCGTACCATTTCACAAGTGTGAGGAACCGTGAAGTGAAAAGGTGTGGGTGTAATGGTCCTATGCTTTCATACATGTGCAAGAAGGGACAAAATAAATAGAAAATGTTTTGGAGATGTCCGTATTGGAAAAATGAGGATACTTGCAATTATTCATTTGGGATGATGATATTGCACAAGGAAAGGATGATCATCAATGTGTAGATGCAGAGTGGAGTAAAGATGAGAGCAAGGTGAGAGATATGCAAATTGTTGAAACTTTGAATGAGCTATATGTATAATGAAGAAGAACAAGAGGTTGAAGATGAAGATCAAGTCTAAGCCATTTTGGGGAAAGCTGAAGACAATTTATGTTGTCTTTTCCTTTTTGGTCAACGTGTATTTGTTAATTAGGTGTAAATGTTAAAATGATCTATATCTGTAATGTTCTCTCATTAATTTTGTAATGTTGACTTGGTATGAACTATAATTTGGTGTAATTGTTTTTGTAATGTTTAATTGGTATGGCCTATAATTTACTTTAAATTATTTGGTTCAGTTACGACCTTTAATCTTGACACAATGTGGCCTATAATATTCACACAATCTGATCTATAATTTAGACTTAATCTAATGTATAATTTTGACACAATGTGACCTATAATTTAGACATAGTATGATGTATAATTTTCACACAAGGTGACCTAATTTTTTTTTTTTACATAAACTGACCTATAATACTGACAGAGTCTGAGCTATAATTTTGACATAATTTGAGCTATAATTTTCACACAAGGTGACCTATAACTTTGACATAAACAAACCTATAATTTTCACATTGAAATTCAAACGGATTTTACACAAATAGTTGTTACATAGAAAAATAGATTTCACTAAAACATCAATTACATCATTACATTACATGGCAAAAATGTTTGCCCATTACATCAGTACATTTCACTAAAAGATCAGTTACATCAGTTACAAAACATAAATATCCAAGAATTCATACATCTTCACTAGGTTAGCCCCTTGCAAGTTGTTGCCCAATTTTTCGATATCCTTCCACCAGCAACAAATTCTTCTGTGATGTCCTCTTCAGTTATCACCAATGGATCATTAGGTTTCTTACCAAGGCTAGATATGTTCTTTTTTTCAGGGTCCTCAACTTTCACTATGCCTTTTTTCAGCGGCCGTATCATATTTTGTCTTGTACCTTTTATGTGTTTTAAATATGACTGGTTCACTGCAACTTGGCTTTGAAAGATTTGTTATAATACCAGGGGATTTGAAAGGTTTGTTCTTGCACACTTTGAGTTTCTTACCAAAGAAAACCTTGACACCACTTCGCTTTAGTTCAATTGCCTTGAGAGGGTTTTTTCAACACTCAAAGGCTGAATGTCCAAGACATCATCATCCCCTAGTAATGCAGCCAAAGTTTCTTCATCCAAATCACATAACTTATCCAAACATGAAGAATGTG